TGCTGTTCGGATGGGGAGCTGTAACCCTGCGCTGGCAGCACAGGAGTAAGTGAAGGTTGATTCCAAGCTGAAAACTAGAAAAGAGGAAAAAGGTTTCGACACCCGAACCGTCTTCAGGCGTGAAGCGTTTCCTGAAGGATCTTCTTTCTGTTTTTAGCGTGTTATTAACTATTACTCGTTTCTCATATTTACATATTTAAGACAACGAAGATTCTCATGATACAGTTCTTACCTTTTTCTCAGTACCGGACAGACTCTCCCCCACACCGTCTTCAGCACAACCTCCCTGAGAGCGGGGCTCCCCCAGATGTACAGTCCGGGGGTACTTGTCGCAGTGAAACGTATCATCATGCTCAGAGGGTCGCTGGCGTTGTTCTTGAATATGTATCGTGACCTGGTCATCTGAACCACTAAAATGTAATAAAAGCGAGGACTCCAGAGCGCCAGGAAGCAGACTACCACCACGATGATGAGTCTCAGGGACTCTTTCTTGCTGTCTCTCTCTGGACCCGGCGGCTCACGAGCAATCTGGTATTTAGCGATGAGGTACAGTTTCACGGTCATCAGCACTTTTATGAGTATTAGAACCTGGAGCCACACAATAGAATAAGCGTTGACTTTCGCAGCCGTTTCGAGAGGAACGACGTTCTGAATCAATATTATAAGATACGTGTAAAACCAGCAGAAAGCGCAAGCTTCTATAATAACAGTCCGTGATACATAGCGGTTGTAAGCATACGGGTAGCTCACAGCAAAGAATCGGTCCACTTGAGCAAGCAGCATGGTCAAAATGTTAACACCTAGGAACGCGGGTAATATGTAATAAGTGCCGTTCCTGGACGGATAGCCCTCGTAGACGTCAAAAAGGCCTACGTAGTAACCACTCAACCCCGTCAGCGTGTCGCTGACGCTGGTGTTCAGCATGAAGAGGAACCGGTTCTGTGCTCGAAGTGCCCTTTTGCAAACGATGCCCAGCACGACCGAGCCAGCCACGATAACAGAGGTGGTGGCAATGATAAAATTGATTATGAAAATCAAGTAATCTACAGGTGTCTCGAAGTCAACTGCTAAGGGCACCGTCAGGTTGAATGAAACCATTGTGGCTTCATCTAGGACTGCGGCAATGCAGCTGAGGTTTTAAGTTAAAGTAGAAGGCGGACCCATGTTAAAACCAGCATTGACATTCAGGGACTTTGGTCCTCTGGGGTGCAATTAAATTGCAAAATCTTTCAAATCTTTCGTCGGATTGTATTTTATCAGGAAATGATAATATATGGATAAGCAACTTTCAATGTGCCACTAGTCAATCTGAGTTACTGAGAGCTTTGGAAAGCTGTGTAGCATGGGACAATTATTTATTGTTGTAATAAGTCACTTGAGAAGAATTCATCTTGGCAGCTCATCCAGTACAAATGCCTTTTCTTAACACATGATGGCATCATAATCCCAAACTCAGATTGTGTTCAAAATCATCCTGATCAGACTCTCTGTTGTAGCTCTGCAGTTCAAATGTGTATCCTGCATACTCGCCGATTTGAAAAGACCCTTTAATGTTCAGATTAGTTGTCCTATAGGTTTGGAATCTCATAAATGATTTGAAAAGTCCTAACATTTAAATAGGTCTATCGATTCCCCTACTAATAAGTATATATACACTAATAATAAATAGAATATATATATAAGTATATATGCACTAATAAGTATATATACACAAGTACAGTATTTCTGAAATAACATGAAGTCATAATAAATATTGAACATCTAATGACACCTATTGCTTATAAATGAGAACCACTCACAAAGGTGTTATGGTAACAGTGACCTAACAGATGCATTGTTTTTTACTGACTCATAAACCAGACAACAGGTTTAGTCAGCAGCGGAAAGGCACAGGCTGGTATTATGTGTGACCACCACTGGAAGCAGCACAAGATGTTACTTCTGCTATGCACGCTTTGCACCAGGTTGAAGAGTTTGTCTTTCCTCTGGGTGATCTACACAAAACCTTCATTCATCATTTAAAAGGCTCCACTGCTGTGATTGTGGCAGCATGCTTTAAGCTAAAAAAGCTGCCAAAGTCAAAACAAGGAACAATCTGATCTCCACATTTGCTGGTGCAACATGGAGGAGCTGCCAATACCACTCTCCAGACCTCAGCCCTGGGACTTTCTCAGCAGCAGAATGCCGTGCTCCTGTCTGGTCAAGTTCATCACATGTTCTCAGAGTAGACACCCAGCTGAATGCCACCATGTGCATCATTGCTGGAACTCTCTGCCCAGTGATGGCAGGCAGGAGACAAGGCACTATGGTATTGTATTGGAGACAATGTGGCTTTTGTAGTGAATTTATAAGTTGGTACACAGGCTTGTGTGTCATGAAGGAATAGCCTTAGATCTAATGGACCAGTCTCAGAGTATTTTACCTTGACTAGAGGAATCGCTTGATTTTCTTTAAGATTAAAAACTCCTGTTATTTTTGTTATGCCCACATGGTTGGGAATTGCCAACTGTATGCTTTTCACAACTTGGCTCACAGCTACAACCCCTGCAACTGTACACAGGAGAGAATGAGGAAGTGTGGGCGGAATCCTCTGACCAGTCCATCATTCTAGCCACTGGTCCTTTAACACATCACAGGGCAACACAGCCTCCTGGTGTTACAGTACTGGCTTCCAGCCACCAGAGGGCGCCTACACGGTCTCGGCTTACTTCATCCACTCTGGGGAGGCGTGGGTTAACCAGGCCTTGTTAATCCATCACCACGCCTCACCTCCTGTATATTTAAACCCTGCCGTCTGCCTCTACCTTGGCTCAGTGTTGGGTTGTGCTTTGTGGATTTCATATCAGAGCCTTCTTGTTATTGGACCGCTCCCTTGTTTATGGATTTTAGGATTGCTTTTTTGGACCTCAATTTTTGGAACTTGCACTGGATATTGAAGACTTGTTGCTTACTTTCTGGCTTTTGGGCTTTTTTGCTTTCCCTTTTGACCACAAATGTGGGTCACCCCTTTAACGGTTTCCTTGCCATTTCGACACCTGCCTAGGGTCCATCAATTTATCTTGACTTGCTGGTACCCAGTGTCACACCTGGCTGAATGTTAGTGCTGATTGGAGGAGAGGTGTGTCTGCCATTTGACCGCACTGAACACAGTTTTTTAAAGTAAAAAGCAAAAAAATGGCAAACCAAGAATATCCTAAGGGCAGGAGAGTAGAGGGCCTGAAGGGATTTATATGTGAACTGTTGGCCTGGTTTCAGGTGTAACATCACATCCAATATTACCTACATCATTTTAAACTGTTTTTTTTTAAATAAATGTTATGGACTGAATTCAAAACAGAGAATCTAATCCTGACCAACACTAATAGCCATGTGCCTGTTTTCATTAAATATTTCATGCCATATAACCTAGAACAAGATAACAGTGAGTCCCAACTTGAACAGGTGGTTGACACTACTTAGTCCTCATTAATTTCAAGACAGACTTTTATGACCTTCAGAAAAGATTCTGCCAACATTTTAGATGTGCAAAAGGCTCTGTGAACATAGGTCTTGGTTGATCTTTGTTAGGAAGGACAGTGCTATAATTGAGAAGATCAATGAATCCCCCACTATTAGTGTGGACTGTAAACAAAAAAGGTGACTTCATATTTACGTTTTTAGTTTTGACCATCCCCTGACGAAAACGAGCAATAGAGGAAGGATATTAATTACTACGAAGAGTTAAGAATTAGAGTATCACACATTCTGGCAGAAATTGAGACACTGGGGCGTTTCTACACAAATATGGGTACTGTACCTATGAGGGGAAAAACACGTTATTGCGATGATTTGGCAAACAAAGCAATCAGTTGTCGTCGTGTCCAAATGTAAAAATTGCGGAAGAGTTCAGAACCTCGGACAGCTCATCACAGAAATGGCACTGTCTTCGAAGTTTCCACTGTCAGACAGTTTCACTGTGAACGGTTTACGCAAATATAGTATTTTCTCTTTCCGAGTTTCTTTTTATTCCACGGATTCCAGCCCTCTTAATTCACGATGTGTCTCCGGTGGTGTGTAAAATGGTGGTGTATTCGTCCTGCGTTTGTGAATTGCAGCGACACTTCAAAACGTTAAATCAAATTAGTGTAGACCCAGGCAGCATAAATCGTCTTAAAAAAAGAACAAAACGAGGGAATTACAGAGGTACAGTAGTTAATAGCTGTAAGTATAAGGCGTTTGGATTAAAATGACGCTCTCTAAAAATGCAAATGCATTTGTATGGTTTATAATAAAATAGGCCAAAATAAATCTCCAGGGACTTTGTGTTTTCCAGTGAATTATCTAATAACCAACACTAATACCTCTAATGGCACCGCTGACGTTTTAATGTAATATTTTTTCGTTTTGCAGAATGAATCCCGAGACTAAAGAAAAGGCGTTGGTAAGGAAACAATGAACAACGACAATAATTATCGCTGTGATATCCATGAAAATACCCCGTTATATCGGCGTATCTAATTCTGTTTAGGAACATCAAACAGGCAAAATTAGCCTTAGACATTTTGGGCGTTGTACACTTGTGTAATGGCATTACATTTTAATTAGTAGTAATATAAACTTGTATTTTTTTAAATTAAGACGTACTTTAATTTGAACCCTCATTTATTTTTAACGGTTTATAATTCCTCGGAATTAACTCGTCCAGTTATTGAGCTCGCAAAAAACGATTTCTAGGCTAAAGACTTTTACCTGTTATTACAAAAAAAAAACATTTACACCACTGCGACTAATCTTAAAATACAAGCATTTGAATTCCAAACCAGGTTTAATAGACGGGTGTCTCCAAAGACGTTGAGCTTCCCTGGGTCCTGTATGTATTAAAAACGGAGAAAACGTAGGTTAATAATAATTTGCAGTATAATATACTGTAATTTTATTTTGGTTAGTGCCATGCATACAATTGATCATATCATTTCAGAGAGTGAAAGTCAATAGGCTTTGTGTAATCCTATGAGATTCTTTGGCGCCGACACTATGAGTTTCTATCTCTTCATGGGGTGTTCCGACTTCAATGTTTTCTTCAGCATGTAAATTGCAAGCCCACTTAGATTTAAATGTGGAGCTTGACTTCATCTAAGATCTTCCACTTTTTTCACCTGCTGATTTCCTCGGTTGCCTTGGTTGTATTTTTGACTTATTGTCGTGCTGCAAAGCGAAGCGCATCCAATTAAATATGGGAGCATGTTCTTCTACATAAGGCAACACACTTCAGATTCCATTCTGCGGCTGCCAGCATCTATTACATGATCAATAACATAACATAACATCACTTTATTACCCCTGTACAATTTCTTGCATTAGGAATTTGTCTTTTCGCATACCCCAGCTTGCTCTCCATGAGACACAGACACACAGACAGGGAGAGAAGCCTGAAGTCAGAGCGCAGGGTCAGCCACTGTACAGCGCCCCTGCAGCAGTTGGGGTGAAGGGCCCAACGGTGTCTCCTTAGGACACCCTAAGGGGCCCAACGGAGTAGGATTCCTCTGCCGGCTGCGGGATTTGAACCGGCAACCTTCCAGTCATAGACGGTAGTTAAGACTACTACTGTCGAGTGTTTTGACAGTGGTACAGAGTTTTATTTGTGGAGGTGAAAGCACCAAATTATATATTATTTTACTATACATTTATCCCTCCTTAATCGAGCACTTAACTTATTAGCTTTCAGTAAAACACTCGACAGTAGTCGTCTTAACTACCGTATTGGATAATGTAGGTGTATTAAACTAGTTGTGGTATAGAATAATACTTAGAATGCATAGTTTGTAAAAACATAATATTGATTTACGTATTTTAACATTGTATGCAATGAAATGTTTTATTCTGGCTATGCGCACTATGAATGCACAACAGACATACCACCGAACAGCTTGATACTCCGTCTTTTACAGTAACGGGCTTTATTCTGTCTTTGACTGTACATGATTTATTAACATAAACTATTTTTGTTTAGAAAGAAATTGTGATTGGTACATGCAATATTTATTGTTCACGTTTACTATAGAGACCATGCGAAGAGAAGTGTTGGAAATTCCAGTTGTAACTTATGATTACGATGGTCATTTATGGCGCCAAACTGTTCAAATACATCGGAAAAGAACCCAACTCAACTGGCTTATATACAGTTAGGAAAACGTGGAACACATCGGAGACACTGAGGTTTATTTTAATGGTAACCAACTGTGTATAGCGAGGGATGAATGTATTTTAAACGGTTTGCGCGATTAGTCAAAATACAAATGGTTCAAATGAATAATACAAAAATAACCGTAATTGCCTTTTTGCCGTAGTGCTGGAATTTTACCTGTTTGAAATGTTACCTACTGTCATTTCGGGCGAATTTGGAGAAGTCTGAGGTCATCCTATTTAAAATAACGACCGTACTAATTTAAACTAATAACTGCCGGGTGTTAACTTCGTGTTTAATAAAATTAAAAGTGAATAAAACATCAGCTAATAAATATCTCGCTTTATGGGAAAATGAGCCACGTTTCATTGTAAATTACCTGTTTCACAACCGAATTACTTTTGTTTTTTACCGAGAAAACATTCCATAGAATGTTAATACTGACAAACGTGTTTTGGGCGACTATTAACTAAGATCCTACAACAAGATCATTTTAAAAATTGTAGCAATCAAAATCCAGTTTCATAGAATACTCATTTTACAGTATTTCAGGCTTTACTTTTGAGAGCTCCTTCGATCAGCTCACTTTAACTTGGGAACGCGAGACAAAGTGGGTGTGACGATGGTGGCGAAATTTCTCTTGGGTGGTAATCCCGAAATCATTTAAACAGAAAAAGGAATGTAATATGCAGTGTCCTATTATTGCCGCTTCTAATTTTCTGTAAGTAAGGTCTATTTTCTAATAACTGCAGAGTTAAAGATATTTATCACATACAAACGCCTGAATAAAAAAAATCTTCGGTCTAAAAAACAACTGATTCTTGTTCCTATCAGTTAGTTTTTAATTATACTTTGAAAACAGTGGCAATATAGGACGCATCAGTACAGATACGAAGACGAATTGATACATAAAAGACTCACAAAAATGCACTCGAACTTTAAAAATCATAAACATAACGAAATATAAAGTATTCAGGCTGTTACAGTGTTCCAGATGGTCCATGGCTGCTTTGGCGATGTTTTTCACGACACAATTTCGGTCTGAAATTAAGATAAGATTCCACCAGAACGGCCATATGTTTCTGGTTTCCTGTGCCGATGTCATTATTCTGCCAGATGTTGTATTAAGAAACTTAAAATTGCAAAATCGAAAAGAAAAACATAATTCAGTACTTCTAAAATACCGCTTAAGCAACACGCACAGTTTTCCCGAATTAAGCGCAGATCGATAGACTTTCGCATCCTGTTCATTGATAATGTGTTCCTGCTGAGAATATACACGCGAGAAATATAACCCTGCAGTTCAATCACAATTAAACCGTGCGGATTAGCAAACAGGTTTGTCCGTCCATCGCCATAGAGCTGCTTATTCCTGAAAAGGGCCTGGAAACCAGGAGATACGAGTAGGTCGAGACCAGGCGTGTGTTTTTTTGTTGGGAAACCCGAGCACACGGAAAAAGTGTCAACTCCACACAGAAGTGGCAGTCGGCACAGGTCGGAGTTGTGTGCGAAGCAACAGTCTACCCGCCAGGCCACCGTATGGATCTCCTCTGTGGTGAGAGACTCCTCGTTGCGTGTGACTGTAACTAAGTCGACAGGCAGATGCTGCAGCTCGATCACCTCGTTCTTAAACTGAACCTCTCGCCGGCAGGCAAGCAAGGTTTCTTTTTCACCAGGGACAGGCGGCGGTGTCGCCTCTCGCTCAACACACTCCTGAGACAAAGTTCTATTGAGGAAAAAGATGGGGGTTTAGCCCACTGCAATTTACTTCATGGGATTTCAGCTCCCAAGTGGCCCCCTTTGCAAATTAAGAGCCCGAACTCGGGGTGAGTAGCTGGCTTTTCAAAAATCTTCTGTTTAATATACGATGTTGTTATTGGCATCCGAGTTTCTACAACAACGTCAACAGCAACAACATTACTACTACAAATACTGCTGCTGCTACTACTAATTCTGATAATAATGTCACTTTCGCCGGTGTTGCCGTTGGATAGCTTTGGTAACGTGCTGCTGTTTCTCTTTAACATATTTCTGGCTACTGCCATAGTTTCTCTGAACCTCTCTGTCTTTCTTTCCATCGCGATCAACAGGGCACTCAGGAACGAGAACCGTTTCATGTACATGTTAAGCACCTGCTTCAGCGACGTCTGCTCGGGTTTGTCGTATTACTACGTCGGCGTCCTGGACGTTCAGGACCACTACGACTCCCCGACCAGAACGTATTACGTCGCGCCCACGTTCCTCGGCCTGTCGTACATGGTCATCCTGGCGGCGCAGGCGGACAGGTACCACGCGGTGGCGGCGCCCTTCGCGTACGGCCGGAGAATGACCCGCGGCCGGACTGCGGTGGTGATCGCATGTATCTGGGTTTATGCGTTCTTCATTGTCGGGGTGAATAATCTAGTGACGGTCAGCGCGGCCAAAAAGGTCACCAGTATCGGGACGTTTGTTTGCAACGTCTTCACGGTGGTCATTATGATCGGACTCAACATCAGACTATACGTCATCGCCAAGTACCACCTGGAGCGGGAGCTGCCTTCGCCTGAGCGAGAGAGCAAGAGATCATCCGTCTACCTCATCGTTGTGGTGGCTGTGTTTTTCCTAGCCACCTGGTTACCCATCTTCCTGCACATTATCGTCTGTAACTTCCTGGGCTCCAGCTGTTACTCGTTTAGAAACGAAGGGAGCGACCCCCTCAGAGTTCTGCCCCGGGTGAACGCTGTCATCACGCCTCTGCTCTACCTTCGGGGCTGCGCTCCGCTGAGGGAAACTTTGTACACCAAAGTCTGGAAAGCTCTCTGCCCAACAAGAAGGTAAAATCCAGGTTTTAAACTTTGTGTCCGTTCTCAGCTTCGCCGGAGAAAAGCTATGCTTTCGTCTTCTTACCGGGACTATGGTTTAGCAGTTGTAGTACACCCCACCGCTCAACTTTAACACACTGAGCTCTGTCACCGAGTTTTCCATTCATTTTAAAAGAGCAGTGGAGATATCCACCGTTTCTCACTTCGCACAACTTCTGGACAGCTGGCCTAGCACTGGCGAGTGATCTTACATTCGAGTGTAGGGGATGAGACGATTTATCGATTTGTGGTCTCTCAAATTTAGACGGGACGAGAGTCAACTTTGGTATCACTGTAGCTCGTGAGTTATAGCTATGAAATATTCACAAATATGTGATTAAGTCTAATGAATTAGCAAAAGGGCTGATTTCCACTGAAAATCTACCCTTATCTAGTTCTAAATATTGTAACACAACGGGGTTCAGGTAGGCGCCCTTGCTGCATCAGGTCGGCCCCGCACCGTCGGGGGCTCGAACCCAGGACTCCGGCGTCACTCAACAGGGACCCAGCTTGGTGAAAAGAGTGATCTCTCCCCAGTTTAGCGACTATGGTCCTGCTATTACAGGGAAGGGCGGTGACGTCACCGCTCTGGTAAGCCGGCTCTTACACAGTGCCTGTCGGCCGTATGTGTTACAATATTTTTTACTTATTTTGACTGACGCTTTTATCTAAAGCGTCTTTCACGTGCACAGCTGAGTTTTTTCCAGGACTCATTTGGGTGAAGTACCAACCTAAACGCATGTGTCTTAGCTGAGGTTTGAACCCACAACCTTGTGGTTACGAATCCAGAATCCCATCCGCGGTTCCCCATCATTTAACGCTAATGTCTGTTGTTCGATTCCTAACTGGTGTGTTAATAGCATCAACGTCTTTGTTTTTTCAGAGTGAACCCAGAACCGAGAGAGGCGGCCAGTGGATCACCTGTCAATGTGGTTAATGTCACCAGAGCACAGTCCTGATCTGGGGTTAATTTCTCTCTAGAATCTATGCGTGTTTCACCTCCTTTTAAGAAAGACGCGGGGGCGCTTTAGTTATTACGTTAATGTGATGATGGAGTCCTTCACCGGGCGTTACAGAAAACAGGTTTGTTTTTTGCTTATATATGCTTAGACTACTTCGTTTTGTTTCACCTACTCCGACCTTTCTAAAGATAGCTCGACTATTTCGAAGCCAGAAGAAATGTTGAAGAAGTATAAAAACTAAAAAGAGATGGACGTGCAACCCATTCACAAACCGTCTGTTCTAACGCGCCGGGTCTCTGTCGGAGGATGTACTTTATCATCGCTGTCACTCTTCACTTTTAAAATGTCATCGTGTGTGTGTTAAATGTGGAAATAATAAAACGCCGTGTTAAAAACTGGACAACTAAGCTGGTTGCTAATGTTCTCTATAAACATTCATAGCTAATATGGGATTTGTGTGCCCTTCTGTCCTTAGGGACGTATCAGAGAGTAAAGAAGGGGTCTCTTCTATGTAGTCTGGATCAGCTACGCCAGGGATCCTGAACTTTTCCTGTTGTTATTGATGGAAAGACGCCTGCAGTTGCCTCTGGCTCAGCCTCTGGTGATTTTCCAACTTTCCCCAAAGAACATGCACAACAATGCGTGTTCATACCTGTGGCCATATCGTTCCTTAACACTTGACCTTCTATGTTAATATGTATCTTGTTGTTTCTGTCGTTTTTTTCCTTCCGTCCGTCTGTACACTATAACACTGCTGCTTGTAAAACAACTTGCCCCTCCTGGGGAGGAGAAAGTCTTTCTCTCAATTGTACAAGCAGCAATTTGGTTAGTAGTTAATTGATCCCATGATCTGGTCTTGAAAGACGCCCTGATACCAACCAGGGCTGGAGCTCCCTGTTCCACTCGCACAGCGCACCCGAACACTGTTTCTTCACAGCGGGGAGAAGGTTTCGGTACAATACCGAGTCCCAGCTTGGTCGAACATCTGTCTTTGTTTCACAACAGTGGTGTGAAAGCGTGAGTGTGCACAGAGGGTGGGGTACGGTTTTTTTTCCCATTGCCTCGGGCATAGAAGACACAGCTTCTCCGGCAAAGTCTCTGAGCCACTTGTAGCCATTTTGTAGCAACGTGAAATTAACTCTGCAACACGTGTAGGTATTCTGAAGCACGTAAAGCCGTCTCGGCATTTTCTAAAATATGTCTGAATCCAATTTGAACTAGATATTTTACTTGTTGAGCAGACAGCTCTCACATTAATACAGTTAGCGTATGTTTGTAACCACGGCCGCCGGCGGCTGTTCCAATATAGTCACCGAGTTAAGGAGAATTAGTGGATGAGCCGTGTGGTCATGTTTACCATTGGCCGAATGGTGTCTACAAAGATGCATTTTACATAGAAACCACAAGGTGTCGGAAGAGGCCATCTTTGTAATAGACTTTCACTATCTTCACGTTTTCTGCGAGAGACGTTCCTTGAAACTTTTTTTTTCTTTTTTTTTTACGTTCCTTGAAACTTTCACCACACCGACATCGTCAGTCGCGTATATTTTCCAAAGTGAAAATGTGGTTCAAATGGCAATCCTTTTAGTTTGCATTTAAAATGCTGGAAACGAGTTTTGTGTCTCAGAGATTTTAAGTGGGGGGTAAATTTAATAGTCTTCACAGTGTTTGAAAACAAAAGCAAGGGTTCGAAGAAAAAGTGAAGCATCATAATAACGCTGCTCTCTGGTTCCTGCTCTCGACAAGTTCTTAATCGCCAGCAGACAGCTTTCGATTTTCCGTACAGGCGCGTTTTTACATTTTCTCTCAGCTCTGAAAAACCTGGAGGAGGATTGTAATCGGTATCATCGGAGTGCCCAGAGCTGCCCTCATTATCAAGTGAACCTACATAGAAGGAAATAAAAAACACACACATTGAAGGCGAGTTCTACATGGTCAGTCCCGTCTGTAAATTCGTCATAAAATTATCTCCTCTTAAGAACGTTTTAGTCCGAGTTAGTTCTTAATGACCAACTCGAAGGGCGATTGCATACATTTCAGTATTTTCGCGTTGTCGGAAATAACGTGTTTTATTAGGTCAGTTATAAAAGGACTGAGTGCATAAAAAAGTCTAATCAAGCAAGAAGCTCGTTTATAAACACCAATTAGCACTGGTGATTAAGGGTCCCAGTGGAAATTAAAAACAGAACATCTAGGAGTCATTCAAGAGCTGGAGAAAGAGCCATTGAGCTGAAGTACGTGAAGATAAAATAAAATGTCAACACACTGATAGCTGCACGTTTATTAAGAAAGCGAAATTAATTAAATCTTTTCTGTGCTATTACATTATGCTCCGTGTCCTAGATATTTTTTTCGCGCATTTGCAAATACAAGTCGCACAGGTACGATAAAAAAAAACTGTCACGATTCACTAGGGGTCGCTATGGGGCGACATTATTCTACTGTACTCAGGTGAAAGGCGATATGAAGGTGAAGACCATATAAGATTTGTATGTAAACCCAGATGGGTTTATATATTTTCATACGTACACCATTTTAGGTGCTTTTCGCAAGGAATACAAATCTTATTTGGACGGCTCTATAAACTGACATACTTTTGTGTTATTTTACATTAATGAGTGGTCGACATGTTCGAGGTGAGACCCTTGCAGATCCATATTTACTCCGAAACTCCGTTTGCAATATGTGATTTTCAGGTCATGTAGGAATTATAAAACTAGTGGATGTCTGTACAGACCAGTCTGCATAGATTTTTCTCCCTAAACCGTATCCCTGCAAATACTATTTTTTTTATTCGAAGGTTGATATGGATAGCTACTGGAATTCGCATGCACCACAAAACGCACACCACTCCGTAGCCATTGGTCAAAATAAAATCAAAAATCGGAGGGAGAGACTGGACAATAGTGGAAAAACGTGTAGATTTTACTGGGCCAAGCTTTTATAGTGGAGGGGGGAGGGGGGTGTTCTGGGTGGTGACCTCACTTCCTTTAGAAACATCTGCTTGGGGGATCTGCGGGTGAGCTCACGTTAATGAAGCCCTTTGATAGCTGCGTGTCCGAGTCCAGTACAGGCAATTCCCCTCTGCCGAGGTGTCTACAACACACCGCAAAACCGACCTTACGTGGGTTTCAAGCGCTCCTGGGCCTCAAGTGAAACAGGAACTAAAACGTAGCTGTTGAACTACATTGCCGGCCCTGCGTCTCGCTATATATATATTTGTGGAGAAGTGGCGTTTGTAGCTCGTAGCTGGGCAGGCGGCACGTATTTCTAATTCTCACGCTAATAATACACACGTACACGTCACGGACATGTGCAGCGAATTGAAATTCACCGGAGACGCCGATGTGATAATTACACTTGTCAAAACATCGAAGAAACAGAAAAAAAGATACATTTTCCTGCAGCTCATAGACTGCTTTCAATTTAGACCCTCTGAGGAAATGATTCAAAAGCATGGGACGTAAAATGACGTTTAGTAGACCTCACCCGGTGTTACACGGGGTCTTCTGGTTTCTTGAATTATTTTAAGAACTACGTGTTTAAAGGACAATATTTCTATGCACAGTATTTAACATTGTCCAGAGGTCAATTCTTCGGCCCTTGCAGTGAGCTATTGCAACACTGAAACAAAGTATTTTTTAATAACGTAAGCGTCAGCCCCAAAACCAACTCCGCCGGAGTCACAGGCTATCTGATGGAAAGGGTATTTAATGATCTGTCTCTGCATTGGATTCATTTTGTTTGTAATGAGCCCTACCCATGTGAGATAAAAACTGCATGTATCAATAAAAGATTCTAACAGCTTCTTTGCTAGTGACCGGGGTGTATAAATGCATCTAGGGCGAAAACCTTCCTCCTCGAAATATGTAACAATTCTTTGCGTTTTTCTTAACACTCGGGGCAAATCTTGCAAATGTTCGGTACATCTTACAATGTTGATGTTTACATGTGAATCAATAAATACTTTACTGAATCTGTGGGCATATTTCTAATGAAATCGGTTTCACTGCATACGCACTGGAAGGGTATGGGGCGGCTCGGTATATTTGTATTATACATGTAATTATATTTGCAACATCTACACACCTCTGAACGCGTTACTGGAGCTCGATACATTGAAATACAGATTACAGGACAGGGTGGTAAACGCGGAAAACAAATCGGGTACAAAGTATCTGCCAAGGACTGGGTGAGACGCTTCTTGCTGGCAAAGAGGCTAGTGGCTTTTTCCCCCTTTTCGGTTGGCTTCTATTCAAATTTGGGTCAGGGGTGAGTTCCCAACGTCACAAGCTTGCAAGATGGCGCTCGGAAGGCTGTGAGATGAGACACAGGCTGGTAAATTGAGAACGCTCCTACAGATGTATTAAGGTACCAAAATGTTGCTCCGGCTCTGTTTTTCAACGTCTCTAAGCTTGCCGTAACTCGCCGCGCGCGGCCGTGGGTCGGACTCCGCGTGGGCTGCCCGAATCGTCGCTCGGTTCTTGCACAATTTGTGGCAAGCGAATGCCAACAAAAAGGGTCTCGCCTGTAGTGCCTACTCCTGGAGAGCCAGCAATACCAGCTTGGCAGGATGTGATCTGCTCGTTTTGTCTTTGCTAAACCTGCAGTGCAAATGCTAACGCAACGAGGTCTTTCTCTTCCCCCTGTTCGACCAGCATAGTGCTCCAACCTTGTTTTTTTTTCCCCCTTTGCAAGCGTGGTATTTTTTTTAATTTAAATGCATTTTGAATATGTTTTCTGCGGTATGAAGTTTCCCCTCGAGGAAAACAATAATCTTTATAGGTGTACTGGCAGATTGAATTCCAAGCCTGCTGTCCTGTTAAGGCACGATCTGGGTTTTTTTTTTTCGTTGTTTGCGATCCAGTAAAGGGTGATTTTTTTTCTTGGTTTTTTTTTTTGTACACGAATTGTTTGTTAGACCATCGAAATGAATCTTTTTTTAACGCTTTAACTTGAAGTGGTCATCGAAATGCTTCCAAATTGCCAGACCTGACGAAAACGGTAATCGATTAATACAATCGACGCTGCCTTTTTTTTAATTGGATAATTTAATTACAATACGCTATTATGGGCGCCATTCACTGAATCAGGTAAAGTATGGATTTAAAAAATATTTCG